CATATTCAACAGAAGTGTAGTTTTAATTTATATTTTGCCAACGAATAGGCAAATTCATCAAAATAGATATAATCTTAATACAAGTGACCATAAGACCACGACAAAAACATTTTACATACAAAGGCAAGACTTCAGAACTGGACAGCACCCATGCGTTTAGCATTAACAACACAATACATTTGTATGCATTATCAGAACTGTGCATACTTTACACTTATATAAAACATTAAAACGAACACCACATCACAATCTTAGTGATTATTATGTAATGGATTAAATGTAGCCTATAATGCAAGAAACTGCGCTCACATGACGCGGAGGTTACTGTGTGAGATATGTGCAAACAGCACCCGTGCGCTCAGCATTAACAACACAATACATATGCATAATCAGAACTGTGCATACTTAAAACTTAAATAAAACATTAAAACGAACACCACATCACAATCTCAGTGATTATTATGTAATGGATTAAATGTAGCCTAATGCAGGAACCTGCGCTCACGCGGTGCACTGACGCGGAGGTTACTGTGTGAGTTGTGCAAACAGCACAGGACGGCACCCATGCGCTCAGCATTTACAACACAATACATATTTATATGCATAATCAGAACTGTGCATACTTAAAACTTAAATAAAACATTAAAACGAACACCACATCACAACCTTAGTGACTATGTAATGGATTGCATATAGCCTACAGAAGGACGATACGTCTGTTGCCGTGGTTTAGCGCAAATGAGGGCTAAACCGGGGCTATTCAAAATTCTTACGGGGCTAAAGCCCACCCCCCAGCCCCGGTGTAGCGCCGTCACTGTACCAGCGATCACAGAGACTCGCTAAGGTTTGTCCAAGAAGTCGCTAGATTTGTCGCTAGTCGCTTTTTTGGAAAAAAAAGTCGCCAAGGGGTCTGAAAAGTCGCTAAATTGGCAACACTGCTAGTGCAGAGACACAGCGGATCCCCGGTCATTTACTTCTCAAGGTACATTGTTATCCTTATGTATTTTTAGAGTAGTATCTTTACAAATATGCTTGTGTGACATTAGTGGCATTCACATTCTTAACCCTGTAAAGCCTGACATTTTTAAACGGAACACGTTATAGAACCTTTAGACAAAATCCAAACATTTTTTTTTATTATATATATATATATATATAGAGAGAGAGAGAATCATATTTGATGCATCAGGTTTTTGTGTAATTTAGTATGATATAGGAGAATATGGAGCTCATATCATATTCAGAGGAAAAACCATCTCAGATTTATTCAGAGGCCCAAATTGAACAAAAATACACAATTTGGTGCCGTTGCTGATATTTATATGTCCAAAAAGTAAGATGAAATTCTGATAGCTTGTAATGTAAATCAAGATCAGTATAGCAGACCACTTACATAAAATGCATATAAATATCAGTTACTCTATATCTCCCAATGTCTTAGTTTTATGATCAACACTCTGTAGTTTTTTATTGTGAGGACAAAACATATAATGCAATGCAGTACAATGCAACTTGATTTGACAAATTGCTTTTTGTTGTTTTAAACATAAACCTCACTGAATTTGGTTAGATTTAGGCATACATCAAAAATCAATTAGCTAAAAGGGTTAGAAAAATAAAACTAAGCAAGATATATTCTCTGAAATTCTTAAATCCTTACTCAGTTTTGCATTTTTAAAATATATTTTCCTGTAAAGCAAGAAAAATACTGATTACGAAAATGATTTTTGAACACTGAAATATTTTTCTTAAACACTGAAAACAGAGGGAATGCTGTCCCTTTTCTCTCTTCTTTTCTCTGTGCCCTGTTTTTTAGTTTGCACGTTCTTCTTATGCTGCACGAGTGTTGGCTGAGATCCTCACAGATGTTCAGCAGACACTAATCATTAGACACCTTTACATACAGACCACTGTGAGAAACAGACTTAGAAATACAAGTGCTGTTTATTATCAGAAAGACAGTTATGATATAAAAGAAAATGAGCAATAAGTGTTTTTTAAAAGAATAATTTAAATGTTTTTAAAAAAGAATACTAAATTACAAAATGTTTACACCTTGAAATGCAATATAAAGACAGCTATATTACAAAAGATAATAAAATAATTTCCACCTGCATATCTGGAGTATTTAAAGAATAAGATTAATAAATTTTTTTTTTCACTGTAGAAACAGCAAGATATATTCTCTGAAAGTCTTAAATCCTTACTGTTTTGCATTTTTTAAATATATTTTCCTGTAAAGCAAGAAAAATACTGATTACAAAAATGATTTTTGAACACTGAAATATTTTTCTTAAACACTGAAAACAGAGGGAATGCTGTCCCTTTTCTCTGTGCCCTCTGTTTTTTAGTTTGCACGTTCTTCTTATGCTGCACGAGTGTTGGCTGAGATCCTCACAGATGTTCAGCAGACACTAATCATTAGACACCTTTACATACAGACCACTGTGAGAAACAGACTTAGAAATACAAGTGCTGTTTATTATCAGAAAGACAGTTATGATATAAAAGAAAATGAGCAATAAGTGTTTTTTAAAAGAATAATTTAAATGTTTTTAAAAAAGAATACTAAATTACAAAATGTTTACACCTTGAAATGCAATATAAAGACAGCTATATTACAAAAGATAATAAAATAATTTCCACCTGCATATCTGGAGTATTTAAAGAATAAGATTAATAAATTTTTTTTTTCACTGTAGAAACATCAAATGTGAGTATCATGACCCCGTGTGAATTGAATGGAAGACTAAATATTGTCAATGTAGTTTTACAATGTTATAAGCTCAGTGCTTGAAAACAGCACCGCTTTGCACTCATAATGGATAGTGGTTCATAATTTTTGCCAGGTCTAAACATTATTCATAGTTGTATAATTGTATTCAAATAGGCAAGACTGGCCATGTGTGACTTATATGACATACAAATGTGACAAAGTAATACACAGTATTTTAAAAGCAGAGAAATATGTAAATACAGTGCTAAACACAAAACTGAACTGAAATTGAACTGTTTTAGGTCAAAAAAAAAGAAAAGAAAAAAGGTCAGGGCACGTTATGAATGTAGTTCATCCATTTGTATTAATTTCACTATCTGTTGGCAAAAATAATGCTTTGAAACTGCTCACTAATAACAATTGTTATTAAACAGTTCAAATGCTATTTAATGGCAGGTTCTCATTGTGACAACTTACCCCATGTAGTGTGATAAGATGCCCAAACATTTTTCCTGAGAATATACTTTTTTTGTGGATAAGACTTAATAGTATGTTCCTAAACAGAAATTGTCTTTCATAAACCTATTCTGAGAAATATTCACTGGAGTGATAAGTGTGACAACTAGCCCCAGTCTGCCCTATATAGTATATACCTAAATTGTTTAAATTAGTTGGAAATGTAACTGAAAAGAGAGCTCTTTTCCTTGAAGAGCTAAAAATGACTTGTTTTGAGCTTTATATATGTATATATATGTATATATATATATATATACAGTATATATTCAAATAAATTCAATTCAAGTTTATTTGTATAGCGCTTTTCACGATAACAATTGTTGCAAAGCAGCTTTACAGAAAATTAAGTTTCTACAATATATTTATTTTATTTATATATATATATATATATATATATATATCCTCATGGCATCTTTGCAATATGTATGATAGTCATAGAAACACAATCAGAATTTGTGCTTCATTGAGAAAGTTACAGACCAAAATCAGACAGACATCACCTATGTGCAGATTTATTTATGCACATATTTCCTCGATTTCATCCTCGTCGTCTTCAACCTTGTCATCGTTAACGATTCCCTCATCGACGCTCTCCAGACGGATCCTCTGTCCATCCGGGTCGCGTGAGCTCCTCTGTGCGAGTTGACACGATGAAACACTGTCAGTTAGAGACTCTGTAGCGAACAGCAGAAATTTGGCATCGCTCTCGATTGCTTTCGCCATACTGGACGCAAAGCTGTCAATCACCTGGTGTATCTCCGCCTTCACCAGGCACTGAGACTGATCCTCACCCGCTAGAAATAAAGTACAGAATTAGAAATAAGAAATTAATACATTATTAGATGTTTATTTAATAGGAACAGTGAGAAATAGGACAGGAAATGGATTTACACTTAACTCTATTATCGTATCTAGGTTTTGTGGCTATAATTTCACAGTAAGTATTTTAATGTCTCACTGTAAACCAGATTTTTCTTTCTTTTTTTTATTTATATTTGTGGTAATCAATATGCACAAATGCTGTCAATTGAACTTAGCTTGTATTGAAACTGGAATGTTCCAAAAAACTTTTACAAACCATTTTATTTCAGTCACGTGAAGTTGGATTTCAGGATTTAGCTGGACAAATATTGTCGTCTTGCATTATTGACAAACTATTTTCCTGTTTGACACTGTAAAACTGCTTTGACACAACCAGTATTGTATAAAGCGCTATACAAACAAAGGTGACAGGTGCAGCAGGGTTTTGTGAAATTCTGTCCTTTAAAGGGTTAGTTCACCCAAAAATGAAAATTCTGTCATTAATTACTCACCCTCATGTCGTTTCAAACCTGTAAGACCTTCGTTCATCTTCGGAACACAAATTAAGATATTTTTGATGGAATCTGAGAGCTGTCTGACCCTCCCATAGACAGCAACGCAACTGACATGTTCCCAAGTCCAGAAACGTAGCAAAAAGATCTGTAAAATAATCCATGTGACATCAGTGGTTCATCCGTAATTATACAAAGCTACGAGAATACTTTTTGTACGCAAAAGAAAAAAAAAAGTGACTTTATTCAACAATTAAGTCTCCTCCGCATCACCCTGGTGCCATTTTGGAATATCCACTGGACGTAAACAAGGTATGCTGTTCTGTGTCAGCTGCATCACGCTGTACAGATCTCCTTGCTACGTCTCTGGACTTGGGAACATTTCAGTTGTATTGCTGTCTATGCAGGGTCAGACAGCTCTCAGATTCCATCAAAAATATCTTAATTTGTGTTCCGAAGATGAACGAAGGTCTTACGGGTTTGAAACGACATGAGGGTGAGTAATTAATGACAGAATTTTCATTTTTGGATGAACTATCCCTTTAAGTCACTTATTTGCCAGAGGTAGTTGACTATACCTTTAGACTGCTGTTCCACCTGGTCCTCAAACATCACTGAACTCATGCGCTTGTTGACTAAAGCACTGTAGTGTGAGCTCTCTGGTCCCTCAGAACTGTTATCCAGCAACATGATATCTGTACCTGCAGGGTGACCATTACAAAACAAAACACTTTAGGAAATAACCGAGTTGTTTTTTAAGATACCCTCAAATATATATGCATATAAAGTTTGGGGTAAGATTTTTTATTTTTTAAAAGAAATGCTTTTATAAGGATGCATGAAATTGATCAAAAGTGACAGTACATACATTTACAAAAGTTACTATATATTTCTATTGCAAATAAATGATATATTTAACTTTCTATCCATTAGAGAATCCGAAAAAATATATTGCAATTTATATATTGCAATAATAAGAAATGTTTCTTGAGCAGTAAATCATCATATTAGAATTATGCTGGAAATTCAGCTTTGCATCACAGAAATAAAATACTTTTAAAATAGAAATCATATTTTAACAGCCTTGGTGAGCACAAGCGAGTTCTTTCAAATACATAAAAATGATTGTGTAAATGTACAATTTTATCTACACACACCTGAGTCCTGGGAAAAACTAAAGCCAGTGTCTCCTGTGCTGCTGCCAGCACCTAAAAGCTGGCCTCCACCAGCCAACATGGCCGTCAGATGTGGAGACATACCAAGATCTGCAACACAAAGATGTCTATTTAAAGTCCACATGAAATCAAAATTGAAACTATGTAATTTGTTAGCACACACATTGCTAGTCTTGAGGTGAACAATTAGTACAGTTAATCCACAGAAAAAAAAATGGGTTTGCAAAAATGGGTATTCTTTAACCATAATTTGAAATGGAATGGCATTTCTTCTGTGATATATATATCGATGTCTCTCTCTCTCGCTCTCTTCTCATAAAAGATGTTTACATGTTGTTCACAAGAGAAAATAATAGTTGAATTGATAAAAATGACCTAATTTCTACTATAGCAAAAGATAGGAATAACTGGCTTAAAACCATTTTTTGTTGGTGAAAATACTAATGGCCTAAGACTTTTGCACAGTACTGTATATACAGTGGGTACGGAAAGTATTCAGACCCCCTTAAATTTTTCACTCTTCGTTATATTGCAGCCATTTGCTAAAATCATTTAAGTTAATTTTTTTTCCTCATTAATGTACACACAGCACCCCATATTGACAGAAAAACACAGAATCGTTGACATTTTTGCAGATTTATTAAAAAAGAAAAACTGAAATATCACATGGTCCTAAGTATTCAGACCCTTTGCTCAGTATTTAGTAGAAGCACCCTTTTGATCTAATACAGCCATGAGTCTTTTTGGGAAAGATGCAACAAGTTTTTCACACCTGGATTTGGGGATCCTCTGCCATTCCTCCTTGCAGATCCTCTCCAGTTCTGTCAGGTTGGATGGTAAACGTTGGTGGACAGCCATTTTTAGGTCTCTCCAGAGATGCTCAATTGGGTTTAAGTCAGGGCTCTGGCTGGGCCATTCAAGAACAGTCACAGAGTTGTTGTGAAGCCACTCCTTCGTTATTGTAGCTGTGTGCTTAGGGTCATTGTCTTGTTGGAAGGTAAACCTTCGGCCCAGTCTGAAGTCCTGAATCCAAAAACAAACCTTAAAAACAACACAAAAATGGGTCACTGAGCACAAAACCAAGCTTCTGCTATGGCCATTCCAGTTCCCTGACCTGAACCCTATAGAAAATGAGTGTGGTGAACTGAAGAGGAGAAGCACCATCATGGAGCTGGGAATCTGAAGGGTCTGGAGAGATTCTGGATGAAGGAATGGTCTCTGATCTCTTGTCAGGTGTCATCAGCTCTCTAACCTCATCAGGCATTATAGGAGAAAACTCAGAGCTGTTATTATGCCAAATGGAGGTTTCAAAAAGCATCGAATAAAAGGGTGCCATTAATTGTGTCCAATGTGTATTAGAGAAAAACATTTGTCATAATGATATTTCACCCCATTTTAAATTCTTATTCTCCAATGAAAGGTTAGATTTATGTGAATTTTTTAAATAAAAGATCAAAATGATTAACAATGCAGATTTATTTTCACAGCCTTCTTTGATCATATTTACCAAGGGTGCCAATAATTCTGACCACGACTGTATATATATATAATATATAACCACACATGACCATGAAATTATGTGCAAACTCCTTATTCAAACAACTGGGGTAAAAATTCACCTGTGATTCGGTTGGAGATGCTAAAGAGGCGGGACTTCCTGTGGCGACTAATGAATGATTCCCGGTAATGGCGGTCACCACAGCCCATGCCAAGCAGCTCCTTCCTTACAGTTTTATTCCACAGCCCATATATGAGAGGATGACAGGCAGCACTGATGAACGACAGCCAGGTCACCATCGTCTCCAGTCCGGGTGACACACTTCCTCGCCCCCATACCGCCTCGGTGCAGATCACTACCACATACGGACCCCACGTCATCAAGAAGGTGCCGACCACCACAAAAATGGTGACCAGGGCTTTACACTGGCTTCCAGCGTAGATCAAACCTCTACGGCTCCCGATGGAAGAAACCGAGGCAGTGGAGTTCTTTCGTCCGTTCCTATTGGAAGAGGGGGTCTCCTGAACTACCACAACCGTCCCACAGTGCACCTTGCGAGCTTTGTGCCGTGCCACACGGAAGATGAGACCGTAGCACACCAGCATAGCAAACAGTGGAACCAGGCAGCACCACACAACCCAGAATACAGTGTAGCTGACATCATGATACCAGGCTACGGTGCATGTCTTCTTGAAATGGTCAAACTCAAATGTGGACCAGCCAAACAGAGGAGGCAGGCAGCCCACCAGAGAATGCAGCCACAGGTAGACAATGGCCACTGCTGCACGATTCCCCGTGATCTTGATAGGGTAGACCATCGGGAACAGCACAGCATAGTACCTGATAGAACACAAAACAGTTTTAGATATCGATTTGTTCTAACTCTGACCTAAAATGAACAATTATGTCAATAAAATCAAACAGCTTTTGCATGTGTTGTGAACAGTGTCAATGATATCAAACCTGACAGCGGTTGTATCTACAGCAGTGGTTTTTAAATAAATATATAGTTCAGTCATGAAACTCTAGATGGCGCAGGCTGACGGGTTGTTAACGTAACTGATGATATTCAGAGAGTTAAACGACTTGGCACAAGCTGATTGGTTCATGCTGCATATGCAGCCAATGAGCTTACTGCCTTGCATTTATATGGCTGGCTAGCATTCACTAGAGATTCCTGCAGCACGCTTTCAAAGTTTCTCTGAAACCCTCCACCTTCCCCAGCTCCACCTGTATAGATCTGCAACGGGTTATTTTATATGCTATTTGTGCAGCAGCAGTATGTCTTAAATACTCACAGCACCATATCGCCGTATGCATTGGCAGTAGCAAGTTCCTGTACTTGCTTGCAGCATCAGCAATAATCTACAACTACAGCAATAACCAACAGCAGCAGCAATTCAGCAGCAGCGTAGCAGATCTATTCCGCCAAGACCAAATACATTAACATTGTCATATCCATCACCATGCTAAAATCTTCAGAGAGTTGTCATGATTTAAATTTATTTCACGCAAAATCATGCAATTTTGGCTTTTCTTGATTTGTTGTTTCAGACTAATTGAATGAACACAACCCAAAATTAAACAAATTTAATTACCATTTATTTATTACAGGCCATTTTCTCAAAATGAGTGTTTTCTTTTGCACTAAGTAAACAGAATTCTCTACTTCAGCAGCACTTACGTACCAAGTTTTTCTACTTTTATTCCAATCTACATTCTGAAGGTTTTTACTGAAGGTTTTGTTCATTTATCATTATCATTCACATTATTTAATGTTATTCCTAAAAACATGGTGAAAATCAAAATTTTCCCTGGTTGTTGACAATATTTTCGGATTTGACGTGATAAAAAAACAGATATCCAAAAAACCCTCAGTGACTTTGACTTGCTTTGTCCAATGCTCAGATTGTTGTTTTGGAAATTTATGTTTTTGAGTGCATATTTAATTTAGGTAATGCTTACTTTGTAGTAAGGTGATATCAATTAGTTCAATTTTTTCCCATTCACCTGTGGTGTCTTGCCTTGATTAACAGAAACTGGGATTGTTGAAAATAATTAACCACAATTCATTTTGTGATTCTAGACATTTCAAGAACTGTACGTTCTGTACGTAAAGTTACATTCATGACATTAATTTAAATTAATTGTAAACCAGTTTTATTCAAATTAATTATTTAATGATGATCTTAAGGCACCTAAAGAGGAAGATTTTTACTGATTAATTACTTAAATTTTGGTCTGTCCTGGTTTGCTATCATATGACTTTAGAAGACTTGAAATATGGAACAATGACATGACAGGATTTTCAAAAATATAATGCATAAAAAACAATTTATACAAGGTCAACAAAACTTATAATATCAGATAATTTAAGCTTTTTATGACAAGACAAAGTTAGTTCAGGTATGTCATGAGGTGTGACTGGTCAATAACAATTAACATGATATTTACGAATGAATAATTCATATGTATTATTTGATATTTGTAAAAAAAAAAAAAAAAACCTTGAAAAATATATTTAAAAAATTTATTTGGAAATAATTATTAAGAACACATGTATTCAATTTAATTCATTAGTCATAAATGAACACTATTCTATTTTTTTTCTGTATTATTCTGCATTATTCTATATCACTATATATTACTAACACTATTTATTAAAAATATCTCATTTTGTTCCTATCATTTAGGTTTGGAACAACATGCAATTAAATAAATAATAACGTAACAACAAGCCCTTACAATATACAAAAGCATTAGATCAAGATGCCATGCATACTATCAAAAACCTGTTTTAGTGTTTTCTAATGGTTTGCAGCTATACCAAGCCTAAAAATCAAGGCAGCAGGGGCCAAACAACCAGACAACAAAGCAACCATTGATTAGTACTTTAGCTACAGGATGCAGAGTTTAACATCTAGACTCCTGAATATAAAAATGATTTATAGAACAATGAGAGTTGTTGGGAAGTGTTTGGCTCATTGAGTTCCAAAGGTAAGTGTGCATGATACAAATGCATTCTCTTTATAATACTCCTTACCTGTCGATGGCAATGGCTCCCAGTGTGAGCATGCTGGCAGAACTGATGAGCAGATATAACAGTGCTGTGAAGTTGCACCATACGACACCAAACAGCCATTCTCCGTTAAGAGAGCTGGCAATGACAAATGGCAGCACCAGTACCGACAATAGGAAGTTGGAAAGCGTCAGGCTGAAGACAAACTTATTGCTTGGCGTTAAGAGGTAGGGCTTCCGATAAAGGGTGAACACAATGAGCAGATTGCCCAGACAGACAAACAAGGCAATGGCTAATATGACAACAGACTCCACGACCCAGGCCCTGGTGTCTCTCACATCTGTGGCGTTCCCCAGTAAGGTTTCATTGCTTCTGGTGTTCATGGTAAACACGCTACGTCATCCAAATGCAGACCAGGGATATGTTTGTAGAGGCTGTAGATCCATTGCTTGATCATCTCACAAAGACGTCTAAGAAAGTTTAAAAACAGAAATAGCTGTTGAATTCCTCGTGTCATTAACAAAAAAAAAAAAAGTTTTTCTTCTGTGGAACACAGAGATATTTTGCAGAATGTCCAAGTAGCTCCTGTCCATTCAGTAAAACTAAATTGGGGACTGAAGTTGTCAATCTCAAAAGATGAGAAAAAACACCATAAAAGGCAATTCTATTTTAGACTTGAGCATGTTTGCTTTATACTTACATTTTTCGTTCCCATTCTGTTTTGAATACCATTAAATTTAAAGGATTTGTTGTGGAGTGAGGGGAACTACATGTTTATAGTACTTATAATGTTTGGTAACACATTGAATAGGGAACACTTATTCACTATTAACTACGACTTTTCCCTCAATAAATTCCTAATTTGCTGCTTATTAATAGTTAGTAAGGTAGTTGTTAAGTTTAGGTATTGGGTAGGATTAGGGATGTAGAATAAGGTCATGTAGAATAAGGCATTAATATGTGCTTAATTAGTACTAATAAATGGCTAATATTCTAGTAATATGCATGCTAATAAGTAACTAGTTAAGAGACCCTAAAATAAAGTGTTACCTAATGTTTGAACACGTTTCATTTAATTTACTGGTACTTTACATGGTTTTAGAATTTAATGTTTATATTTGAACACTTTTGTGCTCGTAATAGCATAGTTTACATAGATACATTTACTATATTTTGTTTCATAGCCTTCAATCCACACATTGTTCAGAGGACAACACTGGGCAGGATGTAGAATTACTTTTAAAAATTACTGAAAATGAAAATACTTAAATATTTATTTAAGTAATTGAAGAAGACATAATCAACAGATTAAATTATTATAACAGTAGTTGCAGCCCTAATCCCAAATCTTCTAAAGCCATATGATAAATCATATGGTACATAAAACATGCCATATAGCCTAGTACATGTGAGAAATGGATTACTTTTATGATAATATATACAGTATCTCACAGATGTGAGTACACCCCTCACATTTTTGTAAACATTTTATTATATCTTTTCATGTGACAACACTGAAGAAATTACACTTTGTTACAATGTAAAGTAGTGAGTGTACAGCTTGTATAACAGTGTAAATTTGCCGTCCCCTCAAAATAACTCAACACACAGCCATTAATGTCTAAACCGCTGGCCACAAAAGTGAGTACACCCCTAAGTGAAAATGTCCACATTGGGCCTAAAGTGTCAATATTTTGTGTGGCCACCATTATTTTCCAGCACTGCCTTAACCCTCTTGGGCATGGAGTTCACCAGAGCTTCACAGGTTGCTACTGGAGTCCTCTTCCACTCCTCCGTGATGACATCACGGAGCTGGTGGATGTTAGAGACCTCGAGATGCTCAATAGGCTTTAGGTCTGGAGACATGCTTGGAAAAAAAAACTCAGTTGCATTTCAGAAAGTTGAAAATCTTATGTATCACCGGAACTTACGGTGAAATGGTTTCGTGATACACGTAAAGTTGCACGTTGTAGTTTACTTTTGACAAACTGTTCATAAAATACAGGTCACCGTAACAAGAAGGTGGTGTGGGTTTAGATGTTGCAGACATAAAAAGAGTAGTGCGCGTTTTAACTTTGATTTCAATACTGTAATATTTCCGTTCTTCTGGAATTCGCTTTTGGACCACCAAAGACGATTAAAGATTCCCGCAGGTGACGTCACACAAGTCACATGACTACGCTTGGCCAATTACTTCTTCTTCTTCTTCTTCGGTTTTATGGCGGGTAGCACCCATGTTAAGGTGCATTATCGCCACCTACTGTATTGGAGTGTGAACCAGAGTTTACCCTTTCATAAGAGGACAAAAAAAAATTACTAAATAAAATAAAAAAATGTTTACTTCTTTACCTCAAGAAGATTTTTCCCACTAAATTCTCTTAATCAGCTCTGTTCTCTTAAGATACAAAAAATAAACTTTCTAGTCCATAAGTAAATATATTTTTAAGCTTTAGGTTATCCACTCCCATCTTTCTAAGTTCATTCTTCATTGTTTCTTGTTCATTAGTATACTTTTGACAAACACAAATAACATGTTCTACTGATTCCTCCATTCCACAGTGCTCACATAATCCTGTTGGATGTTTATTTATTATTTTTAAGGTTTTATTCAGCATAGTATGCCCAACCCTTAATCTTGTTAGAATATTTTCCTCTTTGGTGCTTCTTTTAGTTATTCTCACGACTCCTACTTCTCGCTGTATTTCATAAAGTTGACGTCCTGTATTTCCTGTATCCCATTTATGTTGCCACTCCTTAGTGGTATATGCTTTAATTACTGCTTTTGCTTCATATTTACTAAGTGAGATATTCATGATATCCTCGTTTTCCAATGCCTGTTTTGCTAATCCATCAACCTTTTCATTACCCTTTATCCCCATATGAGCTGGTATCCACATAAATATTATCATTTGGCCTATTACTGACTTGCAAACTGTATTAAGTTCCGCCCTCTCTGTTATGGGGTCTGAAACCACGAGCAAATAATAAAGCCAATAACAAAAAACAGGCTTGTACAGAGGTCACTGGATCCATATTTTATTTGGTTCATGTTTGAGGGAATCGGTAATTACACCAAAATGTCGTCTTCTGTCCCTCACGATATGTGAAAACAAATTATTCTATCCCATCCTTATTTTTAAGTAGGATTATTTATTCGAATTATGAAATGGTCGAAGAACACATTTTAATTTTCCTCGTATAATTACAAAATTATTGTGAAATAAAAACAGATTGCATTTCGATCTAAACCGTTTATATTGCTTTTCGTCTCAAAGTTTGTTCGACCAAAAGCTCTTCTCAAAGCGTTCTATATGCATAAAATAACACGTCTACAGAAATACAATAAATATATTGCAAGCTTTAACTGTACTGAAGTTTTTAGACGTTTTGCTTGCATTGGCCAATGGGCGTCACGTAATATCGCGATATTTGAGATGCGGAAGTGTTTGTCAGATGATTTAGGTCATGTGGTGTAGCCCGATTAAACGTTCTTTAAACAGACTCTGTATGTAGTGTTAGTCAAGTATAGTTCGTTTGAATCTATTCCCGAATTAATCTATCTCGGAGACTCTTCTTCCAGAATGCAGAACGTCATAAACTCGGTGAAAGGCACTGCTCTGGGAGTGGCGGAGTTTTTAACGCCAGTTTTGAAGGTAAGGCGAGGAGTGTTAGCATGATTTGCGGTCTGTATCCAGTAGCTGCAGCATTAAATATGGGGTTTAATAACTTCGAGCATTGACCTGTAAGCAGAAATTACTCAACCAGTGCTATGTTGATGTCAGCAGAGATCAGTCCCAGCAGGCATGCATGTCACAACATGAGAAAACATGCAACCTGTCAGATGACCCAAAGTTCAGTAGACGCCACTGCTGACTGACTAACATATATTTTAGGAAAATAAACGGATAACGTTTTGAATTGCATGGAATGTGAAATGTGATTTAGTTCGGATCATACAAATGGTGGAGTGATACATAAGATGCCACATCTCTCAAAGTTTTGGCAAACGATAAACAGCAGTACTTGTTAACGATGGAATTCTCATTAGCTTCGCATTTAAAGTAAGCTTTTTTTAATGTTAGAACTAAAATGTATTTGATTTTTAACTTGCAATAGCGGATGTATTATGAATGACATTAAATTACACAGACATGATATTTACATGAATGCATAAAATGAATGCAACGTATGTCGCTTTGGATAAAAGCGTCTGCAAAATGCATACATGTAGATAACATTTACCGTAACCCCATGACTGCTATAAACTCACACAACTTCAGTTTGGTGACAGATTTAAATGAGCAAAAAGGGAAGGGATAGTTTGTCAGCTGGTATTTGAGATGGCAAAGCTCTCGCACACCCAGGCCATCTTCTTTGTTCAACCCTGATATAAAGACTAGTTAGAAAATATTAATTATTTTCATGTTTCTCCCTTTTCCAGGAATCTAAATTTAAAGAAACTGGGGTTATAACTCCAGAGGAGGTGTGTGCGCATTTTGATTTTGTTATGGTGTGTATCCATAACTGAGTTGAGTAGGATTTACACACAATGATTCAAGCACAAGCATGTTTTGTGTTCTGTGCAGTTTGTTGCAGCAGGAGATCATCTGGTTCATCACTGCCCCACATGGAAATGGCAAGAACACACACACACACACACACGAGCAAACATTTTATAGCCTCCTATTGTTTCATGTACAACTAGTTATAAATACTATAACCTATACCAAACAGAAAAGTTTTTGCATCTTTACATTAAAAAAAAAAACGAAACAAAAATTTTTTTTTTTATTTTATATTGGTTTTTACAAATGATGCCTGCAAAGGGAGGTTTTGTCAGATTTAGCTTACTTCTGGATACAAATTTGTCCCCAAAATATGGCTTGGTAGGTACACACGCAAAAGAGTATTGTACAGAACCAATCAAAAGTTTGCAATATAATGTACTCCTCTCTTATTACTATAAATATTTTAGACATCTTACAATAATTGTAAAGGCTTCACAGACATGAAATAACACAAATGTGTAAAATCTTATAGCAATTATACAGTGTTATAAAGGGATAATCAACCCCAAAATGACAATTTTGTCATTAATCACTTACCCCCATGTCGTTCCAAATCCCTAAAAGCTTCGTTCGTCTTTTGATACTTTTTGTACGTGAAGAAAACAAAAATAACGACTTTATTCAACTACTTGGCAGTCAATGGGACAGCCACAAGCCTCCCAGTTTTCATCCAAAATATCTTCAATTGTGTTCCGAAGACGAACAAAGCTTTTTACGGGTTTGGAACGACATAGGGGTAAGTGATTAATGACAACATTTTAATTTTGGGGTGAAGTATCCCTTTAAATCAGCTTTTTACAACCAAAATTCATTTCAGCCATTTAAACTCAAGTCTTTAGGTAAAAAGGTCTTTAAGGTCCCAAGAAACATGAATTCAAGTCCAAACATTGGACTGGTAATCTATTTTAGTAGTTTGCTTTA